TATTATTATTATTAATAAAAATAAAGTTCATTTTACTTTTTTCCTTTGAGTATTTCCGTAACTGATGAAATAAACTTAAAGGGTGATGCTATTGCATTAGAACCACACAGGGATCTCAGAATTAAGTCTCCCTAATATTTCAGTCCAAGTTCTATATTTCTCGAGCCCAAGTTACAAGTTCTGTAAATCTCACCAGTGCTATAAAAATATTTTTACAGCATCTAAAACAAATCTGGAACTTGAATTTTTAAAATAAATGAGTAACTGTGTGTCACTGTCAATGACTCTTTTCCAGTTTGATGTTGCCTTTCTCTAGCACTATTGCACAGGAGACTGATAATTGTAAATAGGGAGAATCATCTGTTCTAAGCCAGGCTTCACGTGATCTGATTTTAAAAAACAGGGCTTTTCAATAATATTAGTCCCCTATTAAAAAGCCTGTTTATAATTAACTAAATTAATTTTATTATTTGGAATGAAAACCCTCAGACTTCCTTTTGGGTTTGGAGGAGCTGTTCCATCAATTTAAGAGCTTAGTTCCATTATAACTCAGTGAATCAAATCATCTGCACCATTTATTTCAACCATTACAAAAAGAAAAGGACCAGGGGGTCCTATTTTTCACAAACTCAAATACCTACAAAGAGCTTTAAAATGTAAATCACTATGTTAACACTGGCGATTATAAAGGTGAAACACAAGCCCAGATGATTCTAAAAGTGTCACTCTGGAAGGTGTGTTCACATGGAGAAGTTTTTGTCTTGGAAAATTACCAGTTCCTTCAACTTCATTATTGAGAAAGCCAACAAAAATCAGCTTGCTTCGTTCTCTCCTAAAGCTCTCTTCCAAACTCTGCAGCTGTTGGCCACACAGATGTTTCACATCACTGTACTTGTGGTATTTTATGTCCTATGGACAATCTGCTCTGTGCTTCTGTTATGAGACATAAGGCAGATTTTCTTCATAATATATAAATACCCTATTTAGCAGCAAGATAGTCACTTTACCTCATACTCATATTGCATACATTAAAGCCAGATTACTAATTTTAAATGGATTCATTGACATTAATTTTCCTACATGTTAATTTGTGTAAACCTGGGAAGGTATCGATAGAGTGGCTAGTCAATAGGTTGATTCCGGGCTCACAGTTGAGGAAAGAGTGAAGGCTGGAAGGATTAGAATTTAAGTTGTCTTTTAAAACTATCTTTGTGAATATTTGAATGTTAACAGATATAATTTCAATACATAAATATTTTTTAAATAGAAGGATGAGTTTGAGCACATAGGGTCAAATTATCATCTAGAGCACAAAAGAAAGGTATTTAATTGACCATAGTTTAGAAGGGCAGGCCAATCTCAGAAGTGACCACTTCATAAATAGGAATGGATATAATGTGGTTGGAACATTACCTTTTTCAGATCCATATTTCTAATTCAAGTTAATTGAGTGCAACAATCAAGTAGAGGGATGTGAAAAACCAATGATGATTCTAAGGAAGTTAACACGGGTGGCCAAGAAAATGAACAGATATGTCTTGGAGAGGGTACAGCCAGAATGCTCTTTAGAGGCAAGAATGATGAGGCTTTGTCTCACATACTTTGGGCATGTTGCTAGAAGGAGCTAGTCCTTGGAGAGGGACATGATGCTGGGAAGGGTGGAGGGTTGGTGAAGGAGATGAAGACCTTCAACCAGGTAGACTGACATGGTGAGTGCTGCAATTTGCTCTTGTATGTCAGGAAGTATGAGGATGGTGCAGAATTGAGCAGGGTTCAGATTTTTTGTTCATAGGGTTGCTATGAGTCATACTTGACTCGACATCACCTAACAACAACAACAGCAACAAATAGGAAGATAGGTTCAGAAACAAACTTCACAAAAAAGAAATTGCTTTAGTTGGTCAAGGTGTTGAATTTCAACTGAACAATTCTGTTCAATAATGTTGTTATTATATACTGTAGAGCCAGAACCAACACATAGTAGACCTTCCAGAAAATTTTCAGAGGCAGTTAATCACATGGAAAGAGATTTTTCATCTTTTTTCCATGGAGCAACTGGTATATTTGAATCACCTGCCTTTGAGCTGTCAGCACAATTCCTTACCAGAGCTCCCTTGTTCAAGAATAGAAGTGGCCATTACTTAGATTTTCATTTCTAATTTAAAAGGGGGGTGGGGGGAAATGGGCTAGGAGAATGGATTACCCAGGTACAATTCTCTGGAGATCATTAATAACATTAGATGAGAGTTGATCATCATCAAACACATTTAATGAGAGATGACCTTGGGCCCTCAATAGTTTTGTTTTGTTTTTTTTTTTGGGGGGCCTTCAATTGTTTTGATTCACTCAAATTTTGGGGTATGTGAAATGGTCTTTCAGTCTTTTATACCTCTAATTTTCATAACTTGCTTCACAGTAAAACCAAATAAAAACAAATGCACAATTAAGTTTAATCATCCAGGGGAAATATGTAGGAAAGTTTGTTTCATAAAATTACATATTTACCCATCCAAATCAATTTACATTTTGCTACATAGGAATAGTCTCCAACCATACTTTTTAGTTAATTTTAGTGTTCTGTTAAGTTATAGGAAAAAGAGATTTATATCAAAATGAGATTTGGCACTGTTCAAACATCAAAGACTTACAAAACACTACATTTGGTAAAGTGAACACCACAAAGATACGGTGTTATTTCTAAATACCTCTCCGCTTCATTTCTTTTTTTATCATTGCAAACATTTTCTATTTCATTTCTTAAGTGATTCTCTGAAATCAAGCCTGAAACTGTGTAATGAAGGCCACAATCCTCAAATATATTCTGCAGAATTTAGACACTGAATTTTGAATTACTTTTCCCAGACTCTATAAAAGTTAGATTTTAAAAGGCCTCTCTTAAAAGAAAATTTGAAAATTGGGAAAACTATTGGCATCATATATTGTTTAAGATAATTTTTATGTTATGACTAAACTCTCAATTTTATTTTAGGTAGAAAAAACTATGTATATTACAGGCTCTTGCAGATGGATCTTAGAAACAATAAGAATATAGCTTCTGGTTTTAGCTGACAAAATAAGAAAGGAAACAAAAAGAACTTATTACATTCCTAAGAAAGACTAAAATTAATTAAGGAGAAAAATAATTTAAGTTTCCTACTTGGATTTTATGGTTTTGTTTGGTTTATTTTTGTGGATTTGAGGGTGGGGGCTTTTTTGTTTTGTTTTGTTTATTTGTTAATTCTATAGCAGTGTAAATAAGTATCTTGTATTTTTCTGTTGATGTTTTGGAATTGGATCTTTTTTCCTTTACACATCCACTTGAGCTCTTTATTCAAATAAATAAACATTTCAGGATGAAATTTTTAGCATTCTCCTTTTGCCTATAGGCTGTCTTTCACTTAAATTTTATCCAAGGGAACGCTAAAATAATATAATTTAAAAAAATAGTGTTTCAGGGAGCTCTGGTGGCATAATGGCAGGAACCTGTGCTGCAATCCCAAAGGCACATGGTTCAAACCCACTAGATGCTCCACTGGAAAAGGAGGGGAAATCTCCTGTGCCAGCTGGATCCGATTCGATCATGCACAACAAGAAAGGGGGAGGAGAACATAGTGTTTCAAATATTGCTTGAATGTTTGTTTTCTAATGCCATTTATATAGGGCACCCCAACTCAAAACCAATCCAACTGCTGTCCCATGTAGCACAGCAACCCTATAGAACAGAGTACAACTGGTCTATGGGATTTTCAAGCTGTTTATCTTCCTGAAAACAGACTGCCACATTGTTCTGACTGGAAGCAGCTAGTGAGTTCAAACGGCAGATCTTTTGGTTAACAGGTGTGTGCTTTTCACCACGGCACCGCCAAGGTTCCCATATAAAGCACAAGAGAATATAATCAAGCAAAGCTATCAAGTTGAAGAATTATTCTACAACTTACCTCACACTTAACTTTTCCTTAGCCCTATCCCCACATCCCTTAACAATTTTGTTCGAGGGCCTCAAAATAGTTTACTCTGATTTGATAAGAAGTTGCGTTTCCAACTCCTCTACCTCCCACCTCAGTATACAGGATCAAATCAACATTTGAACAAGGTCCTCAAGCGATTCTTAGAGATCATATGAAAATATTGTAAAAATGTAGATTCTGACTGAGTATGGGCTGGAAAGAAAAACTCTCAGCCATGGTGCTCATTCCATTCCTTAGCTAGAACAATCACAATGGAAAATTGCTTTTAGAGCCTGAATTACTTGAGGGAGTATGACCAGAAGTATATATTTTTAATTTTAGGGATAAATTTTATATTAAGTTGTTTTTATCAAAAATGCTTAGGAAGACTCTAGTTTTGGAAATTAAGGGGGGGGAAACAGGAAAGCTAGTCTTTTCAATGATCTCGTATGGATTGACTAGTTTGTGTCAGGTCAAATACAGAACAAGTAGTTCTAAAACTCAGGAAATTGGGTTTAAGGAAGAAAAATCCAATCACAGGTGCCCTTTCTTTTGGTGAACTCATAGACATCACAGCTCTGTGTCTTTTGGGTTGATGCCAAATGTCAGTGTATTTCCCTGTGGAAGCCAATTACTCAATAAACTGGGATATTTTCTATTAATTTTCATTATATACAGCTATTACAATGTATCTTGAAAAGATACCCAAAATTATAACCTTGCTTCATTAAAGCCATGCTAAAATTTATGTCTAAGCCACCAGAATTTTTGGGAAAATTTGTTTTGTTAGCCCCTCATGCACCCTAAACTAAAGATTACCACAAGATTCTAGAATATTCACTTCTTCGATTAGTAATCTCTAGTCATGGTACTGTATCATGTGATTACCATGGCTAAAACAATTCTGGACATTGGACATTGGAAGTTTTAAAACAATTGTATCATAAATATTAGGAAATGCTACTTGAAATTAACATGAAGTCTAATAGAAGATATTTTGTTGTTGTTGTTATATGCCATTGAGTCAGAACTGACCCATAGCTGACCCTTCCTCTGGGTTTTCAGAGGCAATTAATTAATCACAGGAGAAGAGGTTGCCCATCCTTCTCCTTCAGAGCAGCTGGTAGCCTTGAACTGTGTGCCTTCAAGATTGCATGCAGCACAGCTTCATGTCACTAGGCCACCAGAGTTTCCTTGCAAAAAGAAAACAAACAAACAAACAAAAAACCCACGCAAATATTATTGAGCTAATCACTAGAATGTACATACTATTACTATCTGAAACAAAATAAGTGGACACTTTTCCTTATAACATCGTTCATTTTAAACTATGAGTTGAGCATTATGATGACCTAGGTCAATTCTAAGTACTTACCTGCAAGCAATTGATATGTAAATTATCTGTGATTTCAAACCAAGAGTGGTATCAAGCAAGGACAAGATAAACAAAATTCAAGGTTTTAACTCTGCCACCGTTGGCCTTAGCAGGACAGCACCAACAATCCAATTGCATTTAAGGACTGTAATTAATTAGTTAATACAAAATTACTGAGAAACAGGCTTGGTGATCCTAAGCACCACAGGGCACAGTTATGATGTTAAACCGGACTTTTCTCCTGAAGCCCCTCTGTCAGATTCTCATTGTTTTAACCACATCACTGCTATTGAGTTTGCTTGTTTTGGCAATACCGCGAGCAGTTTGCATTCCAATGCACGCAAAGCGAGCTGTGGGCTCCACTCTCACATGCAATGCATGCCCTCAAAGTCTTATTTTTAAAAATCTATAATTTTGAAAAAGGTATCAAACACTTACGTTTATAGCAGTAGGCATCAAATCTGCTATCAGGGGGAGGGAAGCATGTCTGGTTCTCAAAACGATACAGGGTTCTCACCCCAAGCAAACCCCCTCCACACTGGGCCCTGGCCACAGTCACGGGGTGGCGCACGCTGGCATCAGACAGCCAACCGTAATCGCACTGGTCCAGGCCGTTCCTCCAGGCAGCGTGCAGCTCCCCCACTGTCGCCAGGCGGCTGTCCCGGTTCTCACACTCTTCCTCGGCCTCCTCAAAGGTGAATTTATTGGGGGCAGTGATGTGATATACATCACCTAGAAGAAAAAAAAATAGAGGAGAAAAGTTTTCACTCTTAATCCAACTTTGATATAAAAACCAAAAGCCAGTTGCCAACTTTCTTTTCCCAGTCTCTCCTTGGACTTGCACTGCTGAAAGGGTTTTTTCTTTAATGAACAAGTTGTCATGGAGTCCATGTGTGTGAGAGAGTAGAACTGAGCCCTGTTAAGTTTGTAATGTATGACTTTCTTTCACAGCGTCCCTAGAAGAATCGAACCCTCAAACTTTAAATTCCCAATTGACATCAATCATTTGTACCCCTCTTGGATTTCAGGAGTAGGGTGGGATGAGAATGGGCGGTGGAGGGACGGGAGTAAAGAAAAGCATGTGCTCCTGTCTACATGACAAAGTAGCAGCTCCTGAGACTTTAAAGCTTAAATATCTAATTTCTCAACTTTGCTCTCATTAATATTTATATACAGTGATGTATGAGAAATTATAAACATGAAAAAGTCATTAAACTCAAATAATCTAAAAGGTGATACAAGCAGACACTTGAAAATAAAGTGAAAAGATATTCTTTAAAATGAACAAACCTTTCCAAATGACTCCTTGGACTTTGTCAGGGGTGAGCTTTTCTCTTTCATGGACAAGCCTGAGCATACTGACTCACATTGCATGCCAAGAAAAGCCACACTGAATTCCCACTTGGTTATTTCAAGTTACTTATCACAAAAGGAAATAATAATTTGAACTACTTCCTCGAATGTGTCCACACCATAATAATGGATTATTAACTTCTACCAAATCAATCAACAAAGCAGGGATACCAGGAGTGGGAAATGTTATTCCCTGACTTCCTTTACCAAGGGACATGAACCCCTGGTGGTATAGCAGATAATCTATAGTGTTACTAGCCAAAAGTTTAGCAGTTTAAATCCAACAGCTGCTCCACAGGAGAAAGATGGGCAGTCCCCTTCCTTAAAGTTTTATGGTCTTGGAAACTAGATGGAAAGTCATCATGGAAAAAAAAACACCAAAACAAACCTTCAAGTTTGTTTGGTTTGATACTTCCAGGGCTGAGGCTACCAGAGTGGTGTGCAGGCCATGCACAGCACAGTGGCACAGGGTTGAGGGTTAAACTAGGGCTGACAAATGCTTCCATTTAGCCAGTCAGATGAGCCCACATCAAAGAAGGACAATTGTTATTAAGTACCACCGAACTGATTCTGACTCCTGGAAACCCTATGCACAATAGATAAAAATGTTGCCTGATCTTATGTCTTCCTCATAACCTCTACTATGTTTAAACCCATTGTTACTTCAGTGTGGCATTCTATCTCCTTTAGGGTCTTTCTCTATTTTTCTGACCCTTCCTCCACCTTTCCAAGCATGATATATTTTTCTAAGGAGTGCTTGGAATTCCGTATTTCTTCTGTCCACGGAGGATACCTTTCAGAATCTTCTCAGATGAGGCACCTTCTTTGTAATTCTCACAAAGGTGCTGTCTAGCAGGGGTTCTGATTACGGTCAGGTGACTATTGTATGTGTTCACTAATTACAAAGCAAAAATGGGACATTTGTTGTTTTGTTCATCACAAAGTCCAATTAGAAGAGATGCTCAGTATTTTATTCAGGATTTTTGCATCTGTGTTCATAAGAGATATTGGCCTATAGTGTTCTATTTTGGTGCTGTCCTTTCCTGGCTTTGATATCAAGGATATGTTTGCTTCATAAAGTGAATCTGGGAGAATGCCACCTTCTTCTATTTTCTGAAACAGCTTATATAAAATTGGTGACAGTTCTTTTCAGAATTCAATGATACATCAAAGAAATCATTCACCATGACCAAGCGGGATTCATAACAGGTATGCAAGGATGGTTCAACATAAGAAAAACAATTAATGTAATTCATCACAGTAACAAAGCAAAGAACAAGAACCACAAGATACTATCAATTGATGCAAAAAGGCCTTTGACAATATCCAACACTCTTTCCTGAATAAAACACTCAACTAAATAGGATTAGAGGGGAATTTCTTCAACATAGTAAAAAGTATTTATGCAAACCCAAGAGCCAACATTGTTCTCAATGGAGAAAGTTAAAAGGCATTCCCCTTAAGAACAGGAACTAGGCAAGGATGCCCAATATCACCTCTTACTCGATATTGTATTAGAAGTCTTAGTGATAGCCGTAAGACAAGAGAAGGAAAGAAGAGGTATCCAAATTGGCAAAGAGGAGGTAAAATTATCTCTCTATGCAAATGATATGATAGTGTACCTAGAAAACCATAAAGACTCAGCAAGAAAATGATTGGGTATAGTTGACCAATTCAGCAAAGTGGCGGGATACAAGATCAACATACAAAAATCAGTTGGATTTCTCCATAGTGACAGAGAGAATACAGACCCAGAGCTAAGGAAAACAATACCACTCACAATAGCTAATCACAAGATTAAAATACTTGGGAGTAAATCTAACCAGAAGCACAAAGGATCTATTCAAAGAAAATTACAAAACATTACTACCAGAAACAAAAAAAGAGCTGGAGAAGTGGAAGAATATCCCTTGCTCATGAATAGGAAGACTCAATGTTGTGAAAATGGCAATACTACCAAAGGCAATTTACACGTTCAATGCAATCCCAATACAAATACCAATCCCATTCTTCAATGAGATGGAAAAGGTAATCTCCAGTTTCATTTGGAATGGAAAGAAGCCCTGAATAAGCAAAGCACTCCTTAAAAATAGAAAAAAGGTAGGAGGCATCTCACTCCCTGATTTCAAATCCTACTACACTGCCATGCCGGTTAAGACAGCACGGTACTGGTACAATGATACAGATATAGATCAATGGAATAGAACTGAGAACCCAGAAATTGGCCCATCTACCTATGGTCAACTGATTTTTGACAAGGAGATGAAATCAGTTAAGTGAGGAAACAACAGACTTTTAAAACTATCTGCAGAAGACTCAAACGAGATCCACAGCTCACTCTATACACAAAAACCAACTCTAGGTGGATCATGGATTTAGGACTAAAACCAAGGACTACAAACTTCATTAAAGAAAAGCTTGGAAGAACTCTATAAGTCCTAATCCACAACATAACAGTTTTCCAAGTATCCTGAAAAATCTACAAGTAGAAGATAAAATTGATGAATGGGACTATCTAAGAATCAAATCCCTATGCACATCCAACAGGGTAAAAAGGCAAGCCACGGACTGGGGAAAAGTATTTGGCAATGACATGTCAGATAAGGAACTTATATGTAGAATTTATAAAATACTTGAGCGCCACAACAAGATAAAGGTAAACAATCCAATTGAAAAATGGGCACAGGATATGAACAGACACTTCACCAAAGAAGACATTCAGATGGCTAACGAACACATTGAAGAAATGTTTAAAATCCCTAGCTCTAAGAGAGTTGCAAATCAAAACAACTGTAAGATATCATCTCATTCCTGTAAGAATAGTCAAATTTAACAGAACAGTAAATCACAAATGCTGGTGAGGTTGTGGAGAAAATAGAACCCTTATTCACTGTTGGTGGGAGTGTAAAATGGTGCAACCACTGTGGAAGGTGGTATGGGGCTTTCTCAAAAAGTTGCAAATAGAGATACCATTTGACCCAGAAGTTCCACTACTGAAAATATATTCCAAAGAGACATAACTGACACCCAACAGATATATGCACACCCATGTTTATTGCGTCTTTGTTCACCATAGAAAGGAGTTTGAAACAACCTAAGTGCCCATCAACAAACAACTGGATAGAGAAGCTGTGGTATATTCACACATTGGAATACTACACTGCATTGAAAAACAAGAACTCATGAAATATTGTTCAAAATGGGTGACCCTGGAGGACATTTTACTGAGTGAAATATCTCAGTCACGAAAGGACAAATACTGCATAGTGCCATTTTGTAAAACAGGACTGACATTGTGGCTGGGGGGTGGCAGAGAGACTGAGAAAGATGGGATAAATAATGCATACTGCACTGAAACAGATGAGGGGAGAGAACTGTTAAAAAGGGATATGTGATTAGGTATTATTTTCATGGCACGAGTCCAGATTGAAGGCTGCATAGTGGAGTGGACTTGCGGGGGGAGGGATTGCATTACAATGAAAGAATTTTTCTTTTACTTTTCAAAGATAAGAGTGAACTGAGGGGAGAGAGAGGTGAGCAGGGAGAAAAGTGCAACAATGAATGAATAGAAATCCTCAGTCTCTGTAAACTTTCATTAAAATTAATAATAAAAAAACAAAATAGAAAAAGAAGAGGAGATGTTCATTATCATTCAAGATGTTATTAAAAATATTCTGGACACTCTATAAATGAAAAAGACCACAAAAACCCAAACAAACAAAAACTAAACAACAAGCAAAAAAACACCTTAAACTCACTACCAATCAGTTCAATTCACAGCAAACCTTCATCAGGCTGCAAACCACATGTGAGAAGTGCCCATCTTTTGCCCTCAGAGCAGCTGATGGAATTCAAACCACCAGAGACTGCACTTCTGAGTTAGCAGCACGACTTTAAATGGACTGCAGCCAGCAGAGCTCCCCACAGAGGTTGTCACACTGGAGTTTATCTAGGTAAGTAACAATCTGCTGAGATAAGTTTAAATCAAATGATGCTTTCCACTCATGAGCACAAACAGCTAATAGAGGCAGAGTGAAGGTGGGCATCTATAAAATGAGATAGAGAAGAATCCGGAATACTGACAGCCCATTACTGCAGCAGGTGCAGGTCCTGGCTCCCTCTCACTGGGGCTGTGCTCTGATTCTCTGATACATTAGACCACACTCAGGGATGACCAGCACTCAATTTGGTTCATCAGCTGACGATACCCAGTTGTAACAAGCAACTGTTTAAAACAGTGAACAGTGTTTGATTTGAGCCTGGTGCTCTCTGACTTTCTCTGGGGGTGACTCTGTGTGTGTATGTAGCTAACTTTTATAAAAGAAGAAACATTAATCCTGGGGAAAATAGGCAAAGCACACACATCAATGCTTCTCACT